ATACTAAATGTATGCGTAAAGTAGCGCTATTTCATGTCTTATTTTTGTGATGTTATTTTTAAATTTTGCAAATAACTTACTAGTTTGATAAATATTAATTAAATTTCATCAACAATTAAACTAATGCTTATAAAATTAATTAAAAGTTTTTATTAAATAATTATAAAATGAAATTATTATTAATAGTATTACTTGTAGTATTTGTAACACTCGTCGCTGGAGATTACAGTATCAATGACTACAAAGCGGTCGGGAATTCGCGGAACTTTACGGGGAAAGTAGTTCTGGTGACCGGTTCCTCGTCCGGCATCGGAGAGGGTATTGTTAAGCTGTTCTCACTATTGGGCGCCAGTGTTGTCGTCACCGCCAGAAAAGCACCGGATGTCCAACGGGTGGCCAAAGAGTGCGAAGAATTGTCACCAAAAAAGTTAAAGGTTTGATAAAAAATTTATAATTTTATAACTCTTTCAATACCAATAAATAATAACAAAACTTTATATTTATTATAAACGCTATTATTATAATATATTATTATAATACTGTACTAAATAGTACAAAATGATACTATTATTGCAGCGTTTATTTTAATAAAATAAATACAATACTTATAAGTTAGTAACCTTATTACTAATATAAATCTACTATGGCTAAATAAAAGCAATTAATTTAATATTTATATTCATAGCCCCTGCAAGTGGTGGGCGATCTAACAAAATCGGCTGACATTAATAACTTAATTGACACCACTATTAAAACATACGGCAAACTGGATGTGTTGGTCAACAACGCCGGTATATACCCGGAGGTGAACATCACTGAACCCGATATACTGCGTGTCTGGGATCAGGTGATGGCATTAGACTTACGAGCGGTGGTAGAGCTGATACACCGGGCGGTACCACATCTGGAAAAAACAAACGGCACCATAATTGATATATCGAGCATATCAGCACTTTCACCGGTATATTATCCAATCTAGTTTATTATTATCTACAGTATATTGCATATAATAATGTTTAAATAAAAATTATTTAGACCAAGGACGCTCTAGTATACGGTACGGCCAAAGCGGGTCTAGATATGTTGTCCAAAATACTAGCCCTGGAGTTGGGCCCGAAAAACATCCGCGTTAATAGTGTTAAGTAAATATTTAACTTTAATCAAGCATAACAATTATTAAC